TTCCAATGACATCTGTCATTCTTATTGAATATGGGACGCGGAGCACGAAATAAAATTAAGTTCAAAACAAAATACAATATTGTTTCCATGGAAACGACGGTATACTAGAGCAGATATTTCATGTTGTTTGGTTTTAACAAAACACAAAAAAATCCTTAATCCGGCTTGAAGGGCGTGACAGCCGCGGTTGGTTCGGTTTTGGCGCCAATCCCATCTTGTCTCATGCCATAAGAAGATATCAAAAGTGAAAAGTTCGCACAAAATTACATCCTCGTATTGGTATTGGTATTAATCACATTCAATGATTTTGAACCTATGCGAAGGTCGATGTGGTTTCACTTTCTCTTTCTTCGTGTCTTCGAATTAGGCATGAAAATGAAGGTTTTCGGGACGAACCAAGGACGTGACCAAGGACGAAGAAACATCTGTGTTGACGATGCAAACTAATTAAGTGGGTGCCTATTATTGTGTTAACAAAAAAGAGTTTATTACATGTATGGAATATGTGATGCACCTCTAAAAAGCATTATGCGGGTCACTCTGTAATTGGGCGCAAGCCTGTTGAGGACCCAGAACAAGAGAGGGATAATACATAAATAAATAAATGAATCATATACAAAAGGAGTTTCGATATTTATTATGAATGGACTGTATATTATGATATGCTTGCTATGCTTTTCGTATAAGAGGAATGTTAAAAGAATATAGACATTTTGTGGTTGTATTGGGCGCAACTGGTACAAATTTGCCTATTTTTTATGAAACATCCCTTTAAAAATGATGTATGTGTGAAGATCTCGAGGATCGTTTGGTATTCAGTTGTATCGGATTTTTTTGCAGTATATAACTCACTGCAGCTTCGTTTTAATCTCGGTTTCGCAATTGTTTCTTCGAAGAACCCGAAATGTACGACGTTATTGAAAAAACCGGTTTAACCAAGTTAAGGTCTCGGACGGACGTGGAAAGTGACCATAATAGCACCTTCCAACATCATCAGTGCTAACAAAAATTTTTGAAGAGGAAGTTCGCACTTTGCGCCAGCCACTCAACGGAATCTGCGTCAAAAGATCCGAGAAGCAAATCTAAATTTTCTGAATAAATTTGTAATAAATTTTGAGGACGTTGGTTCTTCGTTGTTAAGTTGTTGAAGAAAGAATTTGGACGCTTAAGATGTTTGAATCCTTAATATTATACGAATGGGGTCAAATTAATTCCACTGATGAATTTCCTAGAAATTCGAAGAGCCTGAATCATATACTGGGGGTTGTAAAGCCTGGTGTTTTACAACTGGTAAATCACCAAAATTTATTCAAGGTTATCGTCAAGAAAGTTATTTCTCTCTGGACAGCTCGAAACGCATTCCACATCAATAAAATGGAGTTGGCGAATTCTTTGATTTTTTGGAAGGTAACCTAGGACAATCAAATCAGAGGGCTAATTAAAAGACGCGAATGAAGATCAAAATCTGTAGACGGCGAGGGCGCCACCAGAAGTGTTTGGTCTGTCTTGCTTCCGACGAAAGTTCATCGTATCACGTTGGCGTCGATGTTGGAACTGCCAATAAATACGCTTCAGTTTGCTTAAAATGTCAATTCCGTTGGCTATATAAGCAAATTGAAAGTTTATAGAAAAATCATTAAACATTTTCGGGAACACTCGAGAATTCCCGAATAATCAGAGCATATTCGCCTTCACTCCTTATTGCTGGTGACTCGGTACACTTCAGGGCACCTGGTGGCGATCCGATGTCTCTCTAGATTTCTAGAATATTCGTTACAATATGAATATCTCGCTATTGATTCTCCGTTCTGTAGATAATAATAGATTTTGGTGATCTTTTATGAAATTAACTCACTTTAATTGGTAACTAATGATTGCGGTATTAATAGTAATTTCACCCCTAGAAGAGTAAAAACAATATGTAATTACAAGAAGACGGGCCGTGTGATTATTAGGTCAAACTACCTACTGAGTCTGATGAAGTTTGAACTTAACTTAAAATTCACAAAGGCAATTCAAACAAACCAAACCTACTATAATACACTCAACCGTAAAAGCTGAATTCTTCACGTAAACTCATCATTGACTTTTAAGTTTAACACCGAGTAATTGTTTAATCACACCTATCAAAACATAAAGCAATATCTAGGAAAGTAATGGAGTTCATTTGACATTTAACTGAGTGGTACAATGAGTAAACAATCGACATAATAAGGATTCGGTTCTATTATTTTACGATGCGGTTGCACAATTGTATTGATACCTAGTTTACTGACAGAATTGTGGCAAAACACTCGAAATCGCCCTTAGAAAAGCTTTCCCTCTTTTTTACTTCTTTTACGTCTACAATTTACAGCTAACAATTTAACGTAATAAAACGTTTACGGATTATGGCCGGGATACAAAAGAAGTGTCCTGAATGCAACTTCTAAAAAATTGTCAGATGGAATAAAGCGACGCAATTTTTTAACGTCGAGAGTCCCCTCCCCGAAGTCACCTTTTTGCGTCTCAAAGACTTATTGCAGTCGAAGTAAAGTTTGACAAATTAAATTAATCTTGAAGGGGAGAAAAATATGTTGTTGCTGTAAAAGTAAAAACAAAAATATTAAAGGGGGAAATTTATCAGGCACGTTTCTTACGTAAAGAAGTTTTGCGATTTTAATTGATTGCGAAGATCTCTTCAATATTGGGGGATATAAACCTGTAGTTACGCGGATCCCATGTGGATGAAATTTACTATAGGGAGCGAAAAGCTAGCAAAACAAAATATTTTTGCAAAAGCTTCCAGCTTCCACTGAATAGTGTTGCGAGAGTAGGTTTAGTATTAAATCTGTTATAAGCTCTTTTAGGGGGTCGGTGATACAACAAAACGTGAGTGGAAGTTATGGAACAAGAGGGTCCTTCATTGCGCGATGGAACCGTTTAACAAATGCTACAAAGATCCGACTAGGATACGTTAGTTTATGAATATTACAACAAATATTCGCATATTCTATCTGCGTTATATGAGAGTAACTTTCAAATTAATTTAAGTGGATCCATATCATAGACGCATATAAATAAATAAATCTATATTGATCTTAATTTTAATCATTCTGTTTTATATGCAACTCAATAAATGGCTATTATTATTATTACATATAAATCTAAAAATTCCATTTGCAAAAAGACGTGTCTTAAACACACGTTTCAAAATTGTCGTGGTTTTAAAGATAAATTAACGAAGTGGGGATTTTGTGTTTAATTTAAAGCCCTGAAGGGCATGGTGCAGATTTTGTCTGTCACACCCATGTAAATAGATTATAAAGTGCATATTATTGTTATGACGTTTTTGGGACAAAGCTCTCATGAGTTTGACAAAAGATATTTTGCAAAGAATTGCTTAGCATCTGCTTACTTCACAAACAATTCCTTTAGTCACTGTAAAATGCAATATGTATAAATCTGTAGCTTCAAGTAAAGTTACTTAATAGGGTTGCCTTTACACGCTTGATCGTAACACAACTAAAATTAAATTGTATGGCAAATAACCTTCTAAATATATAAATGTGTTTCGTGGAAACATTCAATCGGCTATTAAATATCAACGGGCGAGTTGCAGTTAGTTGAAAAATGTTCACCATCATTATTAAAGTAAGAAGCAGATTTTAGAGCTCAGTAACTGCCATTAAGGTATGTTTGGAGTTTAGGAAAATTCATCACCGAAACATTCATCGCTCCGTAATATATTGCTGTGTTGCCCCACGTTGGCCGCCAAACAAATAATACAAATAATGGTATTCGGTCAATTACACCGCTTACAAAACACCTGTCCAGCTAGCTCAAACAGATAGCAGGCGGAAAACGGTAGATGGGGAGTGCTTCGGGCGCCACCAGAAGTGTTTGGTCTCTCTTGCATCTGGACAAGATGCGATAGGCGATGGTCAGCTCAGGTAAGTCGAATGGAGAACGGCGATCCCAGGAATTCTAAAGGACAAGCGGTGGGCGGCTACTGGTGAATGCTGAAACAAATGCATAGCAATTTCCCTAAGCGGGAACAGTCGATAGTCGGATTGGTAGCGGTTTCTACGGGAAAGCAATTGCAGGAAGCGATACGACATCTCCCCCCTTATAATTAATGTAACGTAAAGTAGCAAAAAGCGGATGTACCCCGACTTAATCGAATCGAACTGTAACCCATTACGGTGAATTATACTTATCCAAATAATCGGAGTGAAATCTCCAAACTCGGCAGGTCAGAAATGCCTTTTTATTGCTTAGAATGTGACGTCAAGCGGCGTAATCTGTTATCACGTTGATATTTTCCTTAAACTGCACGACCTTGTCGGTTTAATGCTGCATTTTCGTATACCTTTAGAAATCTAAAATCGATTAATGCGTAATTAACGGACCTAAAAATTAATAAGATTAATTCTCTTTCTTCTTCCCTGGCAAGAGACGTTTCGGCGGCTGTAAAAACAATTGAAATCTTTTGACGGGAACGGTTGCAAACGGGCGGATTAATTGCAGCTTACGGTTTACGGTAGCGGCGGTTGAAAAACAACTCTAGAAATTGATTTAATTACCTTTAGCTTCTATTGGTGTAACATACACGAGTTTGTTACATATACAGTACATTCGAGATGAGAGGGTCACATCAATATCTCTTTTATTTGGCGAGCTACGAAAAATTTGTTAAAATATAATTTTATATTTAATAATAATAGTGTTTATTAACGCCTAGGGCAATTTACAATATAATGTAGGTATAACAATAATAGGAATAACTGCGTGTACCTGAATATGAAATAGTACATTTTAAACATTGACAATAGTAATAACATTTGATAATAACAAAGATTCTCATCACAGTGGGGAGGTAAACATTTTAATACAACATTAAATTAGCAAGTCAAAATTAACAAATTACAAGGCGATCAATTGAAACCAGTCAAAAAAAAAATAACTGAGTCATTATTATATCGTATTGTTTACTAATATTGGATTCAATTTTTTTACAGGAGCCCATCTTTTGGAATTGAATTTTGATTGGAACTCTCTCAAACACACATCTCATAGGGTAAGTACGTGACCCAACCCCAACTCTCAAGATTGTAATTTTTAATTTTGAAAAAATGAACATTAATATTTTTATTCCCGCAAGATTAACTACCAAGTTAATCTCCTTCGTGCTCCAGCATATATGTAATTTAACTTTTCCCAAAGTGCCCGTAACCAAGATGAACAAGAGATAATTGAGTTACATAAAAATTATTTAATTTCCCACAAACGAATAAGGCAAATTATTTTCACGGAAAATTAGAAAATTATTTTTCGGGAATAAACGCGGACGATTTTGTTTCGTTTGCGAAATATGATCTTGTAAATGGGATAGGACGCATTATTTGGGTATATCGGCAAAGCAAGAATTTGGCTTTGTTAACTTTATGCGAAGAAGAAATCTTGTTACGCCGTTCAGTTTAGTAGACGCGTAAAGGAGGAAAATAAATATTTGTTAAGGTTGAACTGAAACATAAAAGAATGCATAAAGGAGATATGAATATTTGTTGGCAGTTTCTGAAATTTTCTAATAAGATCTAACCAATTTCTGTATTGTTTCACATTTATCTTTACGTTCCCCTTTATGCCAAATAATATCTTGAGTGTATTACTATTTTCAAATCACTAGGTACTTATTCCGGAATTGTCGATATGCAAGATAAATGAAAGTTTGATTCATTACATTTGAAACAAAATAAAACGGTTCTTAACCCTGGAAGTGACGTCTCTCCCATTATTTGAAACGAAATTGCTCGGACTTTTGTTCATTTTAATTCCGGAATTTTGTTCATTTTAATTCATTAATAATAGTAATTAAATTATCAGAAGCTTGAATTATTCACAATATAATTGGTCTCATACTAACGTATTTCGTTTGTCAAAATCAAAGTGCTTATCTGTTCCCAATGTTGACTTCTTTCATTCCATATTCGCGCGTTATAAACAGTCAGAAAAGACGTGAATTGAATTTATTGCCAAATGAACGGAATTGAATTTGATAGGCACCCACTTGACACTTGAAGGAAAGAAAGGCACTCAGGACCTATAACAAAGAACCACGCGTGTGCGATCGAATTAAATTAAATTTAAAAGAAAACTGTAATTGCCTTAGAGAGTTGATAATCATAACATCAGGTCATAACTGTGATTTTCTTTAACTAACGCACAAAAACACAAACATCAACTGACGATGCTTCGGAATCTTCGCTTATTTACTTTGACCTGATTCTTTTTTTTTATTTATTTATATATTTATTGTCCCTCTTATTTAAATTTATTTAATTTGTTGTAAAAGTTAATTTTAAAAAAAATTATTGGAAATAACCGTATAACGCCTTATGTCAAACACAAATAACGCTTATTCAATCGGATCACTTATTACGGTTGGCAGAGTTGGCGTCTTAGTCCATAATTTTGATTTCCGTAAAAAATGGTGGCACAATATTTTAATATCGGTGTAAAGTCACGATTAAGAGGAAAATAAAATTTCACGATGTTGTCGTACAGATTGAAAACCGAGTTGAAACCTATTATAATGTAAAATTGTAAAATAAATATATATAAAATCCTTGAAGGTTCTCAATAGCTTTTTTTGTAGAAAGATAAACGAAACGAAAATGTGTACAGTCATTGTAAAATATTTAATCACTTAAAAAACCAATTGTTATAGTTCTATGGGCTCTCATATCAAATTTGATCCAAATTTTGCGCAGATTAAAACGGTGTAGGTAACTTCAAAAAATGAAAAAATCAAAACAACGCAAGCCAGATAATAATCGACAAAGTCACAATCTACTATGGTTTTCGTCAAAGAAATATTAAAAAATAGCCTTTGTGAGGTATTTAGCTAGCGAAACATTTTTTTCCAAATACAAAGAGCGCAGAAAATTAAACTTTAAAATCTGTAAATTCTTTTCCTTCGAATGGTCTTTCTATAGCCCCTAATTTTTGAGATGCTTACCACCAGAATAAAACTCGCCCTGTATATTATGGAAGTAAAACCAATAATGAACGGTTCTAAGCAATAAAAGGCTCTTTTGCATACAAAAATCCACAACAATCTGTTGCGTAATAAATAAACGTTTGTGTAGAGTGAATAGTTCTCCCAAACTCATTTTGGTCCCACTTAAATGCCGTCCCAGAAATCCTGCGTAGGCATTGGCAGTCGTCACATCATATCACAGCATTTGTGGTTCAATGGTATAGCGTTGAGCTATAAATCCGGAGGTCGGGTGTTCGAACCTGGGTTGAGGTGAATTTTTCATCTGTGGCAGAGATGGGAATTATCATAGACCAGTTTCGAGCATTCTGTCGGCTACTCCAAATTAGGTTTTCCTGCAGTTTTCCTAATTCGTAAGGTAAATACCGGAGTAGTATAGAACAACTTAAGACCTGCAGAGGCACCTCTAAAAAGCATTATGCGGGTCACTCTGTAATTGGGCGCAAGCCTGTTACGGGCCCAGAACAAGAAAGGAATAATAAATAAATACATAAACTGGATTTGAAACGAAAACGAGCTGGTAGCCACGTTAAAAATGATAAAACCAGTGATGGATTTACCAGCAGGATTAGTAGGCTGAAGTCTAGAGGGCGGCAAACTTTCTCTAAAATGTTTGTCCTACGTCGACATTTGATGAAATTTGGACATGTCCAAAAAACGGTGATCGCCATAGCTACCTACCTCGGTCTATAAGAAGCTAAAAAGAAACTCACCCTGTATCAATAATGAAAACGAGTCCCAAAAATTTAAAAACATTATTAATATTTTAGTACTGTACAGTATACTCTGAACACTCTAACGTATCTAGAGGGAAAATTGCTAAACGCCCTGTAAAATGATTTTTAAGGCCTACTCCACCTTATAATTAGTACATGGTTGGCCTTTTTTTAGCTCAGAAATTATCCAGAAACTATTTCTCGTGTAATTTTCACTAAATCGTGGGTTGTAAAAATAATCCAGGAACTGATACAGCGAGCCCCTAGCTCATAATAATCATGCTAACTCATAAAGTTGCAATTTCAATGTCAGAATAAATGTAATTAATATGATTGCGAACTAGGGGTATCGAATTTCAGTCAGTCAGTAGGGGCGACAAAAATGGAATAGCCTACTCGCAACAAATTTGTAAATCCGCCACTGTATAAAACGCTGATTTTGTGAATTGTTCGTTTTTAATTAACCAAATTAATTACAAGCGGGCCCGTGAATGACGTGAATTTGCAAAAATGTGTAATTAAGAAATACTGCTATCGCTCTTGATAAAGCAAAAGCCATCAATACTACTTAACACAGCTGCTAAGAGAGGTAAAATTATCTATAAATGTATTGTAATTAATACTAATTAAGGTGGTTAGTAATACTTGTGGAAATCTAAGCTTTAGTATAATTAATAAACCTGTCAACGTCATGAGAAACCGCCTAATGCTTCAAAAGACCGATAGTTTTTTTAATAAATTGGTATGAACCCCAATGAAATGCTATACTTAATGGTAACACGGCGGCTTTTTGTTTAATTAAATACTAGTTCGAATCCTTTGTAAAAAATCGCCAAATACAGAACGTGAATTTTATTAAAGTGGCGTTAATTAATTCATGTTTGCATAATGTGGCAAAAAATGCAAATAATTCTTTCAACAAACGGCGTGGAACGACGACGGTGGGAAATTTCCCGCATTCGACTCTTTATTTCATTTTTAAATTAAGCTTGCCAGTGTTGCGACCGACCGTAAACCCCTTTACTATCAGATTTGCCAAGTTTGAACTAGGAATTGCCCGTTATTTCAATTTGTGAGCATTCAAACATCCTATCTTGATCAATGATCCTTGAGCAAAGCGCTTTGATCGCCATTCTGCATTGAATAGTCCTTACTGTAACATGTCAATCCTCTTCAATCAGTTCAGTAAATGTTCCACGGGTTACAACACTTGTCTTGTTCCTTTTGAGGATCTCGATTACCACATCATAACGTTGTTTACCTCATTTCGATTTGTATATCATATAACAGTATCTGATACAGGGTGAATCACGAAAACCGTCGATTCGCGATACATGGAAACCAACTCATTTTAGCATCAAGTTTTAAACGGGACGGTTATGCTTTCTTCCAATCGTCCGAACGCTCCATGGCTTCATGTCCAACGATTTAAAAGAGAACGGATGGACCGAATACGATAAAAGTATGCAGCTGGATCCTTTATTAAATTTGTAGATCGGAGTTCGTGAACTGGCAATGTAGGCCAAAAAAATAAGAAAGGCCCTTTTGACATCGAACCGAATTGCATGAAATTAAAACTGGGCATAGCTTTAGCGATATAATATGCTATGCCAAAAGTTGAGCGTAATTGATTCAACATTGATAGTGCCTTTTTAGCACGTTTGCAAATTTATTTGTAAAAGAATTGAAAGCGATCCATCTCCTATGTGATGATATCGTAATGAAACCACAAAACTCCTCTTCACCAAAGAGTGTGTTTCATTTTCTATACCAGCCAAATGGACATTTTTTATAAAATCGCCAGAAAGGGTAGAAAAACTTCCAGGCAGGACATAGCTTTGTTGTACTCTGCGCTGTCTACGGCCCTGAAAACGCGATGGCAGATTGTCGAGAGGAACACGCGGCTATGAAATTTTGTTTCCTGTTGGGGAAATCGCCCGCGGAAACTATTGTAAGGCTTAAGACTGCTTATGGGGATGCTGCTCTAGGTAAAACCATCGTATACGAGTGGTTTTCGAGTTTTAAAGGTGAAGAAATGATTCCTTTCCGTTCAGGAGGCCCCTCAATGTCAGGAAGTAAAGGATACGTCGACAAAATGAATGCTCTCGTTCGTGGAGATCGTCGCCGAAAGATTGATCAACTCTGTGAGATATCTGAAATACCATGGAGGGCAATTCATAGGATTTCATGCGAAGATTTGCACATGTGAAACGGTTGCAGCCAAATTTGTACCTCGCATTCACACAGATAAGCAAAGAGAGCGTCGACTTCAAGTTTCAAAATCAGCTCAAAGAGGACCCTGAA